CTCTCCAGGCAGTGTATTGGAGCTCATGAAATGAATATCCCAGGACTGTATTTGCATGTCAAACCCCCTGTTATTATCGTTATTAAATGAATATCTCCACATGGGAAATGCTCCTTCATTTACTGCTAGAAAAATTGAAGATCTTGCCATAGGACTTGAAGATATTTACATCTGAAGGACTTGATGTAAAGCCCGTCATAAGAAACCTTAAGCATTTGTGCCGGGGCCTTGCCCTCCTCTGACAAGCTCGGGTCCACTTCCTCTTCCCTTCATGAAAGCACCGTCACCCACCCTGCACTCTAGCTGTTCCTGACAGGAAACCTATTCTAGCAAATCTGGTGCCCACCATGTTACCCCATCTCCATTCCCTTCTTTTCCTGGGCTCAGTTTTTTCTGTTTTCATTTTTAAAAAACTCATTATTGTCCTTTTTTGGTGAAAGCATTTCAAGTCCTTTTGACAAAGAAGCAAGCCACAAAAATAACCCCTTCATTGAGCATCGTTAGTACACAGATAAAGCACAAGTTTCAAAATAGCCATCATATGGCAGAATGGAGGGCGGAGCATGGACTTTGAGCTAAAGCTGTGTGTGAGTCCCAGAGCCAGCATTCCCCAGTGCTGTGGCTTGGGAACTGGTCATATGACCTCTGTAGGCCTCAGTAGAGTGGGGTTAGTAATACCTGAGTCAGAGGGTTTCTTCAAGTCATAAATGAAGTGCGTAGAAAATGATTAATGTCTAATTAAAAAATACTAAATGGCGAGTCATTGTACATTGTACATTGTAGCTCATATCATTTGCAAAGGTGTAACCACTTTCTTGTTTTTTTGTTGGGGGTGCATTTTCTTTCTGGTACCTTCCCAGAGTAGAAGGCATTGGTAAACCTGGTCTGAGTTCATCCCCGTGTCACAGCAAGGAGCTCTGTGAGCTTTCTTGCTGTATTGTGAGCAACTGTAGGGCCCCAACCCAGAGCTCCCTGCTGGGTGGGCAGTCAGCAGAGGGTGACTCAGCCTGAGCAACCAAGGACGGTTTCTCCATGTGGAGTTCTCCACGTGGAGCTGTGTTATAATTATTTCCGTCTATGGCCCATGCATTCGTTCTCAGAGATCCATGGTGGTGGGGAAGGGAAAATATGAAATAAGCATAAAGAAATGATAATCCATGGACTGTCTCCACCCCCTCACACATCTACCTGCTTTCTATTTCTGTCCTTCGTCTTCTTCCCAGGGACCCTGCCCTTGGACAGTGACCACTGTCTCTTTTTCTAGTTCTCTCAGAGGTCTGGGTCGCAGATGTCCCCATCCAGTTCTCTTCTCCCCTCTTGCTCTTACAGAGTTCTCTCTGGGAAGGAGTGATCTCATTGTATCATTTCCCTGGGTAACAAACTCTCCACGGCTTCCTACTGAAATAAAGTCTGCACTCCTTGGCATGATCTAGAAATAACACCCCTCAGAGTACTTTTCTTTCTTTTTTTTTTTTTTTTAAGATTTTATTTATTTATTACACAGAGAGAGATCACAAGTAGACAGAGAGGTAGGCAAAGAGAGAGAGAGGGAAGCAGGCTCCCCGCTGAGCAGAGAGCCCGATGTGGGGCTCGATCCCAGAACCCTGAGATCATGACCCGAGCCGGAGGCAGCAGCCCAACCCACCCAGGCGCCCCAGAGTACTTTTCTTACCTCATCCCCTGTGTCCCTGTGTACCCGTGCACGCGCACATACACACACACTCACACTGCAGGGTTCTAACATTTTGAACAATTTTATGAAAAAAAGTAGTATATTTCTTTATTTTCTCCCCACTCCAACATTTTATTTTGAAAATAACAAAGCCCCGGTTGGGGTGGGGGGCGGAGATGAAAGAACATCCTCACCTAGATTCACTGATTTTTTTTTTTTTTTGATTCACTGATTTTTTTAATGTTATGCCACTTTTGTCTCCCCACTCCCTTGTCTTTTTTCATCTTTGGCCAAAGTGTTGTAACTGGCAGACACCATGAGACTCCATCCCTGCACACGACTGTAGGCATCTCCTAAAATAAGGACATTCTTCTGTATAACCACAGTGCTATCTATCATCATATCACCTATGAAACCCAGCAATTCCCTAACACCATGTTCAAATATATTCAGATGTCCGCAATTATCCCAACTTGTGTCCTCCTCTACCCCCACCCCACCCCCATCCAGGATTCATTCAAGGTTCGCCCATTGTATTTCTTTAATCTCTTAATTTTGAATAGTTCTGTCCTAACCCCCAACCCCCTTTTCAAAGTATCCAGACTAGTTACGCATTATGGACTTGTCTGATGATTTTGTTCCTCTGACCTCTGTGTTTCCTATAAACTAGAAGTTAGTTCTAGAGGTTTCTGTGTCTTTTAAAACAACTAAGGTGGGTTTCACCGCCTTTCCTTTTTCTTGTCCACGCTTTGCAAGGGGGGCTCAGGATGAGCATGTGGGAAGGCGGAGGGCAGTGGCCAGAGCGGGTCCATCCCTTCATTCTCGCCCCACAAGTCCCCTGAGCACCTGCTCTCTGCGGGTGCTATGCAGTTGCTGGGAATACTGCCCGGAAGAAATAAGCTGGGGGTCTCCCCATCTGCCTCAATTCTGGTAGGGACTGACCAGGAATTAGCCAAAATGTTATGGGATGTCGGTCACAATTAGAAAAAGAAGAGTGAAAAGCCTGCAGCATGGGCAGAGGGGTGATCTTTTCAGTAGGATCCTTAGTGAAGACCAGTCTGGGAAAATAACATTGTATCTAGATGAGGGTGGGAGAGAGGGACAGAGATGTAGAGACAGAGAGACACTGAGAGGGAAAGAGGGAGAGAGAGACAGGAAGAGACAGACACAGAGAGAGACAGAGAGATGGAGACAAAGAAAGAGAGATACGGAGTGTGCTCTGCAGTGGGGCAGCTGGCCAGGCGACAAGAGAGTGAGCCCCCAGAGTGGGGGTGCATCAGTGTGAGGGGGAGGCAGGGTACTGTGAAGACCAAAGAGCAGTGCGGTCAGGTGGACCCTCCAGGGCCTCCTCTTGGAGCCGGCTGTGTGCTCAGCAGCGAGTTCCGTTTTCCCTTCTTGAACAGCACCATCTTCTTGAATGATCAGTGAAACACAGCTGTTTGGGGAGTGGGTGGGGGTTGAGACTAGTGAAAAAGAGCTTGTCTGTTTAATTACAGCTCTAAAGCCCATCTTGCTTATTTACAGATCAACTTAAAGCCCTTCTCCATTGCAGAAACTTTAGCCTATTTAAAAAAAAAAAAAAAAAGGCTGTTTTGAATCAAAGAAGTACTTGCTTCCCCTTTATTTTGGGAACTGCAGCTTGCTAGTTTCGGAAAGAGGTGTGACTGCCCTTCAGAGGCAGCGTATCTCCGTGATGAGATGATAAATAAGTTGAAGGCTGCAGGCCCCCCTGGAATCCTGCAGGACAAGGTGCAGAATCCAGCTGTGGCCTGTGGTTGACAGTTTGACAGTTTGGAGATCTTGAGGTTTCCTAGAACAATTCCTCCTCCGGGAGTTATTTCTTGATTCCCACCACCGCATTCCCAAACTCCAAATCATCTCTCCCTCCTCTAAAGTTCTAAGCAGTGGTCCCCCAGTGGCAGTGCTTCGGAATTCCACAGATTACGCCCCTCCCAGGGGGAGGGGACATGATTGGGCCCCAAGGAATTAACTGGAATGCATCCAGGAAATCTGTTGAGTTTGGTGATCCTGGTGTTCCTTCAGCTTTTAGAACCACTGCCTTGCGAGATCTTCTAATGGAGCTCAAGCAGATTTTTTGTTTTTAATGTATAGATTTAACCATGAGACTATGCTGTAAGGCAAGATTCATAACCTGATTTTAGTTTTTAAATTCATCTCTTTAGTCCCCAGAGTGCTTGGTGCAGTGCTCTACACATCCTAGTATTAACCAGAGAAACAAATAAAGGAGTTTAACATTCGGAAGCACGGTTATGTTGTTCTGCCCTGGTCAGGCGCTAGCCCCTGCTGTCCACGGTTCTTCCTCTGGGGTATTAGGCACCGTCACGGTGTGCTGATGCCTTCATTTGTGCCTCTAGCTCCATCATCTCTCCCAGGTTCCACAGTCACATACCTTACTGGGAAGCCCACGGGAGCTGATCAGCTGAATGTTCCTCCAGGCATCATCTCTCCCACATCGGCATCTCCTCGTTTATTTCCAGTGTTGGTGGAGGACCACTACCATTTTCCTAGGCCCCAAGCCACATTCATTTGGAGGCAGGTTCTGCGCCATCTAGCTCTTAGTCATGCTTGCCTTTGACGCCTCAGCCCCCTCACTTGATCTTGTCCATTGTGTCCTCGTGAAATGACAAAGTAAGAAAAACAGCTCCCCAGCATGGCACACAAGGTGTGCTTCTGTTTCCATCCCAGCTCCTGGCCTTCCCTAGCTGCTCCGGGTTTCTCATCATAGACCTAGTTCCCTGAAGGGATCAGCTTGAACCTGTTCCCCAAAGAAGTGAGATGAACCAGTTCCCCATAGGCCTGTGATGAACTAGTTCCCTGAATGAGCCTTCTTATCTCTGGATCAGTATTTTGCATATGAAGTTCCTTCTTCCTGAAATCCCTTTACTGCCTCTGCCCGGGACTGACATCCCTCCCATTGTGACTTACAGAGATTTTCTTGGGGACATTTCCCCTCACTACCTCTTTTTCCACTTGCCTGAGTTAGGTACTCCTTCCTAGGCCCTGTGCATCCTTTGTCATTGACTCTACTATAATTTTAATTCTCGAATCTCTGTCACGAGAATAGGAGCATCTTTAGGGCGTGAATGATGTCTTCTGACATAAGATTGGTGCTCAATTAATAGTTGTTGAATGAATGAATGAACAAGCAAATGGGTATGTGAACTGTATTCACATTTGAGTTTGTTAAGCTATCTATAATAAAAAATAAAAATGTATTGTTTTTAATCTTGGTGAATGGAGATATTTTGGCTGCTTGAAGCCATTTCTAAAATGGTAAAACAATGTCATTGCCTTTATATTCCCACAGGAAATATGGGATGTATAAAATCAAAAAGGAAAGACAATCTGAATGACGATGGAATAGATTTGAAGACTCAACCAGTACGTAATACTGACCGAACTATTTATGTGAGAGATCCAACGTCCAATAAACAGCAAAGGCCAGTAAGTAGATAGTCTCAGGGAGAATTCCCACAGCAGGATCAACGCATGGCTGCTTAATTTAAACACCAAATCTGTAACATGTGCATGCAAAAAAACCACATCCACTACTTGGGCCTCAAATAATTTTTGATTTGCTTTATAACTTAATCTTTTAAATAGTTTGTAAACATTTTAGAGATTTTACCAGACCACTTGTTGCACAATTAATGGCCTTTGATCACCTTCTCATGTGTAAAGAAAATAATCTTTCATATCACTGGTGCAAAGACCCAGTTTATATATATAGATATATAAAGATAAATTGATCTATTTGAACTTCTGTGACTTAGGATAGGTAGTGAGATAAATATAAAGATATTTTATATATAAAGTTAAATTGATCTGTCTATCCAAACTTCTGTGACTTAGGATAGGTAGTGAGATTAGCGCAGTCGTCTGGAGGCAAAGGAAATTTTGGATTTGAGTCAGAAGCTAAAATAAATGTTGATATGCCCCTTGTAGTGTATCATATTTTATCCCATATCTTGTCATTCTTCAGTTAACTCCAAACAGTAGATTCTGAAGTTGTCATGACTTATTATAGAGAATTAAACGATTAAAAAAGTACACAGCTAATTCTGCCCCCTAACCTTGGACAAATATCTGTAGCAGAAATTTCATATGAGTGATGTGCTAGTTTCCAACTGCTTGGCCAAGGAAGACCTAATACTCTAATTTCATGGAGAAGAGGACCAGAGCTTTGGATAGTTGCTACGTTAAATGCACTTTACTTCCGATCTTTTATCCTTCCCATCCCATATATATATACATATATATATATGTATGTATGTATATATGATATATATGTACATATATATATGTATGTACATATATATATGTACACACACACACACACACACACACATATATATAGTCCCAATGCCTTTATTAAGAATTTTCATAGTATCCTGTAGGTTTGATGTCTGTCAAAGCCTCATGCCATTGCTGAAATTGAGAAGTTACTATTGGCATTCTCAAACAGTGGAGATGAAGAGTGAATATATTATTGCTGTTAATTATTGTACATGATGTTTCTAGATAGATAAATTAATGTTATATAGAAAGAAACTCAAAAGGTATAAGACTATCGCTTTAATAATTTAGTGATGTACATATAAATACAGTATTTAATAACATTATATAAACCAGTATAAGTATAGGACTATATTACATAAAAATGCTTAATAGAAAAGAAAACTAATGAAAGAATTGGAGTCACAGGTAGTTTCCTCATTATAGACTTGATGAGCTCTCATGAAAAGAATCTGGCTTTTCCTGATACCACGTGCTAGGTATTTTACTTGCTTAGAACCCAAATTCTCTTTTTGAAATGATCAACAAAGATGCCTTGATTCAGAATAACAAAGGCAAATCATATAAACATGCCATTTTTCCTCCTCCTAAGAGTGAAGGAGGTTAAACGTGGGGTTGGAAGGTGAAGTAGTAAACAGGTTTGCAATATGGCAATTCCCTCCTGGATTCTGTCTGTTAGTCTGTGCCTTCTCTGGCTGCCCTTGTTTCCTGAGCCCGGAGGGTTTCCTTATCCCATGGCCATAGATAACAGTCCCAGGTGTGGCCAGATGTGCCAAAATTGGATGCCCTGGCTCCGTGACAAAAAATGTGATGGTGAGGTGGAATTGATGAAATTCAGCAACACCCCGAGGAAAAGACATTTTAAGGAAAGAGTTAAATGGCAGATGAATTGGCCTATATGTGTTTTGGTCTTCTAGAAAGTCTATTAAAACATTTATAAATTAAGGACTCTTTGATATTTGACAATCAGCTTGCTGCTTTCAAAGTGATTTAATTAGTTTCTCATCTTCTGATTATTTCCATTAAATCATTTATAATTGATCATGCAATCCTAATTATGCAAATCCCCATGATTAAAAAATCAGTGTAGGGCTTCTTAAAGTAAGTATTCAAGGATAACACGGACCCCCGATTTTCAGATAGCAGGACACAAAGTAATGTTCCCTCCCCCACTGGCCCAGCCTCATAATTGGAGATTTTATGGGCTTTCACCCGAAATTTAAATTAAAAAAAAAATTTAAATTTCAGTGCAAAGGTCCATTCCTTTGAGCCACTGAATCAAAGGGAAAAGTTGCATGATTTGTGGATATAGGCCTTGGACAGTACTTTCCTGAAAAAGGGCCCACGAGGTCTTATCCTCCCCATGGTCACTGAGAGAAAAAGGAATTTGATTTGAAAGGTCATTGAGGTGGCCTTTTGTCCCACAGACCCTTCCTGCTAATCCACCTCAAAGCTGAAGTAACTGGACGCCATTTGTCCCATGACAGGAGCAGGGTTAGCCTTAGGAAGCCTGGATCCGTTAGGACCTGTTCTCAGTGTCCAGTGACAGAGCCCTGACTCGTTTTCTGAACAAGTCTGGGAAACACGGAGATTAGCAGTTCTGGCCAAAGTCCTACCAAGCCAGCAGGGGCTCAAGCCATTTCCATATTTTGCTCTGGGTTTCCATGCTGAGACTCCAGCCTTCACCTGTTCACTTCCTGCTACCACCGACAAATGACTGCTTTTTAGAAGGGAGAGCTGTTCCGCTGAGCTGTGTAGGATGGGACATAGCTCTGCAAAATGTTTTCTCAGTTCTTCTCTTCTTTCCAGCTTCCTAAATTAGCCATTCTAAACCTCATTTGCTACTGTGAGAAAAATGATATAACACACAACATGACTGTGAGTAAGAAAAGCTAAATGTCAAAATCCTTTTCCTAACCAATATTCTCTCCTAGGTTCCAGAATCTCAGCTTTTACCAGGACAGAGGTTTCAGACTAAAGGTATGTTTCCATAGCAACATGGTAGTTTTCCTTTCTTTACTGTTACAGATGCTATAAGGGAGTCAGCTTGGGTGTTTTTATTTATACTTTCATTGCCAAAAAATACATGGAATATAAAATTTATCATTGTAACCATTTTTACGTGTCCAGTTGAGTAGTTAAGTACATTCCCGTTACTGGACAGCCAGCACCCCCATCCATCTCCCCATCCATCTCCAACTTCTTCATCTCCCTGAGCTGAAACTCTGTCCAAGTTTAACATGAACTCCCCGTCCCCCTACTCCCCTCAGCCCCTGCCAGCCACCATTCCACTTTCCGTCTCAATGCATTTGGCCACTTTAGGTACCTCAAATAAGTGGATTCATAAAGTGTTTGTCCTATCGTGTCTGGTGTATTTCACCCCTCATAATGTCTTCAGGGTTCATCCATGTTGAATAATATCCTGTTGTGTGGACACACCATATTTTGCTTATCCTCATTTGTCACTGAACATTTGGACTTTTCCTTTCAGCTCTTGAAAATAATGCTGCTCTGAACATGGCTATATCATTTCTGAAATACCAGGGAGGGGGGGATTAATTATCGTTGTAGGTCTGTATGACTGGTGATAACATAAACTGTATCCAGTGTGGATAATATGTTGCTTACTGTAGACCATGTGGGCTGTGAGCCCCACTAGGCAGGAAACACAAGTCATCATCCATCTTTCGTGCCAGGTAAAGACTTGTTAAAACATTTCCATTGATGGATTCTTGAAGGTCTTCCCTTTCGTCCTTCCTTATAGATCCGGAGGAGCAAGGAGACATCGTGATAGCCTTGTACCCCTATGATGGCATCCACCCAGACGACTTGTCTTTCAAGAAAGGAGAAAAGATGAAGGTCCTGGAGGAGTAAGTACACCCACACACCCTGTGCCTGCTGGCCCTTTACTTGGGCTCCTGAGTCCTGGCCCCTTCCTTCTGCTCCCAGCAGCATAGCAGCAACAAGTAGCCTCCCAGTCTCTTGCTGATAGCAGTGCTTTGGGAGTGCAAGGAGTGGGGCCACCACGGGAATCTTCTCTTACGTTCTCCAGTTTTCCCTTTGAATAGAGACACTGGTTTCTTTCTTTATCCATCTGTGCCAGCTTAAGAAGTTTGTGTCTGTGGGAATTTGCGTGTTATTTTAATGCCATGTTTATCTAGTTATATTGCTCAAATTCAGACTGGGTTTATGGATCTAAGTTTTATTTTTAAGGGCACTGTGCTGAAGCAGCTGTCATTTGGGAAAAGCCCCTACTCAGCAGTTGTAGTCGTTCTGCAAGACACTTAGACATCGTCATGTCCTTGGTCCACCCTTCCCCCTGCCTTACTGACTCATAGATCTGTGGCTCAGACCACAGGCACTTGGTACTGAGAACAAGGGTTTCCCAAGTATTTCCCCCTAATCTTGCATACGTTGTCACGCTGGCCCCACCCACCAGGGTTGGAGGAGGGAGACTCCTTAGTAAGTAAAAGGTACTAAGTGGTTAAGAGCAGTTGATGCTTACTGGTGAGTGTGAACTCCGGCCTAGTCCTGGCCCTGCCTCTTGATAGCTGTGTGACCTTGACAAGTCACTTCAGCTCTGTGCCTTCATTTTTTCACTTAGGCAGCAGCTCTGTGTCCGTGGGGCTGTCCTTCACGTCTTGCAAACGAGAAGCCCGACTTTCTGTGGGAATTTGTACATCATAGTTGAGGCTCATGGGGACCTTCCATTCCTGCCTCCTGCCTCAGCCCCAGCCTCCTCCTCAGCTCCATGCTGAGGGCAAGAACGTGGGGATGAGCCTACCTGCTTGGGATTATTTTTGGTTTTCCATTTCTTTTCTTCATAGCATCTCTCTATTGAAATTAGATGTTTTAACAAAGGAGTTTATAATATGAGAGCTATGCTTCGTTGTTCCTTTGAATCCCGTTTCTATAAGGATCCCACAGCATTTCTTAGAGATCCTGGGGGAAATTACAAACATGTTGCTTCTTCAAGATAGGAGCCATTTTTACCAACTCTTGTGTGTGCAGCACTGAGCACAGGGACTCAGTTGTGAGGCTGTTTTCCTTTGCCTTAGTCTCTAAACATAGTTTTATTTCAGCAAAAGGAGTGAATTTTTCTGCTGGATTCTGGGGTTCCAGGGATCTTCCCATCTTCCCTCACCCCCCAAAACAGACACCTTCAGACAATTGCTATTGCAGTTCTTGACTCATCGGATACACACACTTATTTCTTTAAAAACTTAAAAAAAAATGTAATCTACCCACAAGCCCAAGGACAAGAGTCCCATGCTTTACCAATAGAGCCAGCCCGGTGCCCTTGGATACAAACGCTTTTTGATGTCTGTTTCTCTTCCAGGCATGGAGAATGGTGGAAAGCTAAATCCCTTTCAACGAAGAGAGAAGGGTTCATCCCCAGCAACTACGTCGCCAAAGTCAACACCCTGGAAACAGAAGAGTGAGTTTTTACCCGTTGCCATCTTGGATGGTTTTGCTTGTTGCCTGGGCTTTCTTAATGCATTAGTACCTTTTTCCTTCCCTTGAGCATAACATCCATGAAATGTAACAATGTCTTCTCAGGTGGTTTTTCAAGGACATAACCAGGAAGGATGCAGAAAGGCAGCTGCTGGCACCAGGGAACGGTCCTGGAGCTTTTCTTATCAGAGAAAGTGAAACCTTAAAAGGTAGGAAGTGGTTTAAGTCCCCCTCTAAATCACTATTTAGAAATTCATTCTTAGAAACTAGCATAATATATCCTTTTTTAAAGAAAAATATATATTATATTCTAGTAGTGAAAGCTTTAATGGCTTGATAACAAATAAACTCAATAGTTTTGCTATGAAAATTACCATAGCAGACATAATTACGGCCATTTCTCACCATGCTTTAAGTTTGTTTGCGGAGCCTTTTCCATTATGATTGAGAGTAAATCTTGAAATTTTAAGAGAAAGAAAATCAAAATGACTTTTCAATTCAGTGAAATAATAAAAAAAAATAATAGCACGAAGAAGGAAAACGGTGTGTTGGTAAGCTTCATAGCAACAAAATGGTAGCTTCATTTGTCAAGTAGACTTCTTATAGGACTTAAATTATGCACTATACACATACTTAATTTACATTTTGCATGTTTTATTACAAATTGTGTACCATGGAGTTTATAAGGCAGATCTTACTTGTAAAATATAAGCATAATCTTTCCTTGTGCTTTCCCCCACAGGAAGCTACTCTCTTTCTGTCAGAGATTATGACCCTGTGCATGGTGATGTTATTAAGCACTACAAAATTAGAAGTCTGGACAATGGAGGGTATTACATTTCTCCACGAATCACTTTCCCTTGTATCAGTGACATGATTAAACATTACCAAAGTAAGTAAAAACTAAAGGTCGGACAAGACAAAACAGATTTATTATGAAATGCAGGGTTCAAACACTTTTTTATATTAAAATTCTTCTACCTTACATTTCTTTTGGATGAAGTTGGAGGATCGTATTCTGTAATTGATTCTAAATTAATCTATAATTACATATGCATGTGAAATCAGAATGGACCTTAGTGAATAATTATCCCAGTTCTTCCCACCCAATCCGTGCTGTTTGACAGTTAATGTTCCAAAACTGAGAAGAGAAAAATGAATATTCTTTTCATGTAGTGCATATTTTTACAACACATCTTTAAATATTTGGAATCAGAATGCAGATTTGCAGATCTGTGTCTTTATATATATGTGTGTGTGTATGTGTGTGTAAAAGTAATCCATAGTCTGGGTAAAAGAAAACAAATAACAGTGACAGGAAAATATTTAGAAGTGGCAAGTCAGTGGTCCTATGTCTCCAGCACCTCTCAGTTAGCCCTGTGAAGCCAACCCATGGGTCGCCTTTAGGTTCATTCCCTGTGTGATTGAAGTCGGTTGTGGTGGGTAGCTGCTGCTACTGTTTACTTCTGCCACCCACTCTGAAGGGGTACACATTGTAGGTTTGCAAACAGTACTAATGGATAAAATCAAGTATGTTCAGAATTGTCTTTCAGGTAACTGTTTCCAAAATCATGATTATACAAAAGATACCCCCATAGAATTTAGGTTCACAGACTACATTGAGCTGGAAATGATCCCATTAGTAGCCAAAATTTCTTCATAGATACTGGTAAATTACAAAGTAGGACATTTTGTAACCTTTTTTCCCCCCTCTTTCACATTAGAGCAGTCGGATGGCTTATGCAGAAGATTGGAAAAGGCATGCATTAGCCCCAAACCACAAAAGCCATGGGACAAAGATGCCTGGGAGATCCCACGGGATTCCATCAAGTTGGTGAAAAGACTTGGTGCCGGGCAATTCGGGGAAGTCTGGATGGGTGAGTGTGGGGCTCTGGAGGAGGCAACCAGAGAAATAAGGGCTCAAGCCAATGTCCGTCCATATTCTCAGCCAAACATCAAACCATGTCAGAAGCATCACTTCTTTTGTTTTGCTCTGCTCACGTGGCACCAAGGGCTGCAAAATGGTTTGATCAGACTCTCTTCCTTGTAACTCTCCTCTTAAAAATTTTTTTAAAACAACTTTTTAAAATTTTTAGTGAATTACAGTTGACACACAATGTTATATTCGTTTCAGATGTATAACAGTGATTTGACAATTCTGTATGTTGTGCTTTGCTCACCCCAAGAAGTGTAGTAGCCATCTGTCACCATATGACATTATTACAGTATTATTGACTCTGTCTTCCGTGCTGTACTTTTCATCCCCGGAACTTAATTGTTTTATAACTGGATGTTCATACCTCTTTCTCCCTGTCTCCTGCTTCATTTCTCCTCCCTGCCTACCCCCCGCCATAGTAGCTCTTTTAGAATGAACGTTTATAAGGAAGAGGACAGTGGGTTTTTATCCTGATGTTCTGTCTACTTGTTCACGATTCTCTCATCACCAGATTCCCGGTACACATATTTTAAGGGCAGGAAATTGGTTTCCATCTCAGGGAAAATTATATTCGGGGTGAGGATTGTCCTTACTAGTGGGCATAATAGGAAGCATCAGTTTATTGCACTTTCTCACCAAGAAAGCTTCTAAAGATGCTCCAGGTGCCGCGGTTAATGAATCATTCCTTAAGTTAAGTCCTGCCTTCTCAGGCTGACGAGAGGTAACGACGAAATTAGAGCAGTGACTTCTCCAGGGGATTTTTCCCCCCGTGCCTTTTCTAAAGTTTTTATAGTGAATGTGATTTTCTTTTTCTTTTGTGATGGAATTTTTAAAACCCTTTTTTAAAAAGTCATGCTCTCCTCGAGGTTCTAACTGAAAACGCCATTGCTCTTGTGAAGGATAACCTGTGGGGTTGCACACATCTTACTGGATCACCTTTTCTGTGCCAGCTTTGAGTGAAAAGCAGCTGTGATTTCCAGAGAGATGAAGGGGTAGCAGGTTTTAACCCTGTGCAGTCCCAGCCGAGCAGAAGCTAGAGACTCAGCCTGCTGTGACTATGTAGGCACCTGCATCCAGGGGTCTGTTGAGGGAGAGGTTTCTCCTCTAACATGTTTGCCTCTGGGATTGCCGTATTGCCTCCTTTGTCCTGTTGCTGTTGCTTTAGCTGAAGCATCTTTTAAATACGGCAGATACTGACCCAGACGAGAATGAGTTCTCGCCACACTGTCGTTCTGTGAACTTGCTATGGAATTCAGGTAAATGATTATTACACAGTCGGACAGTCGTCATTTTGTTAGGCATATTCCAGAACCAGTCAGTGGCCCCTGTCAGGCACACCATTTCCATCCCAGTCAGCAGATTCGTCGGTGTGAGTGTGCGCTCCGGATGCGGCCGCTTCTCATTCACACTCTGTGGCCCAGGTCATAGAATCAAACTCCCCCTTTACCTGCCTGCCCTTTTGCTTTTTATTGAGGTAACATTTGTGTCACATAAAATCAGTAATTTTAAAGTAAATGATTCAGTGACATTTACTACATTCGCATGGTTGTGTGACCACCACCTCCATCTAGTTCCAGAATATGTTCATTGCCCCAAAAGGAAGCACTATACCTGTAGAGCAGTTATTCCCCATCTTCCCTCCCCCGCTCCCCCCAGACCCTGGCAACCACCGTTCTACTTTCGGTCTCAATGAACTTGACTAGTCTAGGTCCCTCATGTAAGTGGAATCATACTTCATTTGCCCTTCTTGTGACTGGCTTATGTCACTTAACAGAATATCCTCGAGGCTCATCCATGTTACAGCATATGTCAGAATTTCATCCTTTTTTATGGCTGAATAATGTCCTACCGTATGGCTACACCACACTTTCTTTATTTATCTGCCATTGGATATTTGGGTTGTTTCTACCTTTGGCTATTGTGAATAGTGCTGCTGCAAATATTCATGTACAAGTTGTGTAGACAAATGGTTTTATTTCTCTTGGGTATATATGTTCTTGTAGAAGTGAAATTGCTGAGTCATACAGTAATTCTATCATTAAATTTTTGAGGGATCATCAAGCTGTTATCTGCTCATTAAAAAAAAAAGCCACCTTCTTTATTCCTCTGAGGTATTTGTATTTCTTTCTTTCTTTATTATTTTTTTTTTTTTGCAAATCCACAGGGGAGGGGTTGGAATTGTATAATAAACATTGCAGACCCTTCACCTGAATTCACCGGTTAGTAGTTTGCTGTATTTGCTTTTTCTCTTTTCTGCATACACACACATACACACACGTATTTTATTTTTCTCGTTGTTGTTGAACCACTTGAGAGCGAGTTGCAGATGTGATGACTTTTCACCCCTAAATACTGAAATATGTGTCTCCTAAGAGCAGGACCATTATCTTAGACGATGCATGGCCACGTTTAGCAATCTAACATGGATACATACTATTACCAATACAGAGTCTAGAATTCCTTTAGTTGTCCCAATAATGCCCCTGAGCTCCTAGGATCATGTATTTGCATCGAGTTGACATGTCTTCTCTATCCTCTAATCTGGAACAGTTCCTCGGTCCTTCTTCATCCTTTATGACACTGACATTTTGCAGAACATGGGTCAGTTGCTCTGTAGAATGTTCCTCGTTTGGATTTCTCTATGGTTTGGCTCAGGCGATGCCTTTGTGTATGATTTAGTATCTGAGTAGTAAGCGATGCTCTGTCCTCAGGGCATCTACCAGGAGGCACGAAATATTAGTTGGTCCCATTATTGCTCATGGTCTGTTTGGTTTTAAGGAGATCTGCCAGATTTCTCCATTGTATATATTACTTTTTAGTTCCTTTTCATGATTAATTAATAGTCTGTGGGGAGATCGTTTAAGATCATATAAATATCCTCTGCTCCAAAAGAACTTTCATCAAATGGTTTCAGCATTATCTGCTCATGTTGAGTTCTCTTTCTTCTTAGACGCTATCACTTCTCTAAGGTGAAGCTGCCTCTGTGTTTCTTCATTCTCCCACCAAACATGTCTTCTCCAGCCCACTGGCTCACTGAGGGAACCAGATACCTGCCTTCTCCCTCTGGCCATCTGAGTGCTCTTTCCTCCCTGTATTTACCATGACTTTGAGTGGGAGGAGGTGATGAAGAGGGGGACGAGGAAGAAGGACAGGAGGACAAGAGGAAGGAATATCCAAGCTGTACAGTGTTCACTGGCCCCCTTCTAGGTACATACTCATCGATTATCTCTCATAGTCATCACAGTAACACTGTGAGATAGGAATTATTGTCATCATTTGATAAGCAAGGACTCTAGATTCAGACAGGTGTCTTGCCCAAAGTCATTCAAGGCAGTGAAGAAGCCGGCTGCTTTGGCATCCCAGAGACCTGGACTCTCTCACTTGCTAATAAGCTATTTACACAAATTAATTTGACCTCATCACTTTCCTCATCAGTAAAATGGGTAAGCAGCCATCTTCTCAGTTGCTGAAAAGAGAATGAGATTTATATAGCTGTTGTGTTTCTTATACAATATGGTTCTGTGCACTCTAGTTTTATTTTCTTTATTTTACTGTATTTGACCATAGTCACTGGAAGCTATATTTCAGTGGATTTTCCCCAATTTCAGTCATGAGTTCAAACTATGAATAACCCAGTTAGACCTTCCTGTGAATATTTGCCAGCAAAGGAATTGCATAGCTGTCATGAAGAGAAAAGTAGAGGGAGCTTAAGGGGGTATATTCATCTGCTGTAAAACAGTAACCCTGCATATGAAATGATGGCTTGGAGTTTTGTTCCAACCTCCTCATGTTCAGCTGTGAAGCTAGGATAAAGGCATCAAACTACATGCTATTTGCACTGGAGAGATAAGGATAAGAACTGCTAGTCTGGGAAGTTATTGCTTTGAGGGGAAGAGATTATGCTAGTCCTTTTGTGTTTTCTTAAAATTTTCTTCTTTTTTAAATATTAAAGATCTTATTTTTATTTATTTCTCAGAGAGAGAGAGAGAGAGAGAGAGAGCACAAGCAGAGGGAGTGGCAGGCAAAGGGAGAAGCAGACTCCCTGCTGAGCAAGGACCACCCCCCACCACCTTCACCCCCTGGACTCGGGACTCAGTCCCAGGACCCTGGGATCACGACCTGAGCCGAAGGCAGATGCATAACCCACTGAGCCACCCAGGCGCCCCTTCTTAAAATTTTCTTGAGCACTACTAGCAAGTACAATGGTAATCTGTTTGCCACCTTTGCCATGGTGGTGGTCACAGGTGCCATTTGCCAGCACAGCTCAGCCAGGGAAATTGATGAGGGGGTGAGCTAGCATAGCATGGGGGTGAGGGAGGGCACAAGCCTGAGTCACCGGCTCACAGTACATTTCTGTCCTGAGTGGCCCAAGCATCATCACCTGCAGATCAAGCTCATTGGTCCTTCTGAGATTAGGAAAAACCTCAATGTCCAATTCCAGATATACTAGATCCTCCTGCCCGTTTCTCACCTTTTCCTGTTCCTGCGCTTCCACTGGCCACCTGCTAAATCTTGACACCGATTTTAGAGAACATTTTTTAGCATGTGCCCAGGTGGTGGGAGAAACTGAACTTTAGAGGAGAGGAGAAATGTGGCATTGGAAAATACGTAATTGTTCTCTCCAGAGTGTTATTTGGATTTAAACTGTTTGAAAGAGGTAAATATCTGGTGAAAAATCATCATTTGAATAGATTACTAATTGTATGTGTGTGTGTGTGTGTGTGTGTGTGTGTGTGTGTGGTAAAATGCATATAATATAAAAATTTCCATCTCAGTCATTTTTAAGTGTACAATTTCAGTACTGTTACGGACTTTCCCATTAGACAGCCGATTTCCAAAGCTCTTTTTATCTTGCAAAATTGAGCTTCTTTACTTTTTAAACAACAGTTCCCCTTAATGCTCTTCACAGACCCTGTCAACCACCATTCTACTTTCTGTCTT